CTCACTACCTGCAGGAGGATCAGGGAGGGGCTGGTGCTCTGTGAACTGTCACAGTAGCTCTGAATGCCACCCCCCCGACCCAGAAATGGATTAAGGGGAAGATGATTGATGGATGGAAGATTAGAAGTCAGTGCCCTGACGTCCAGCCTCCGCTAATAGTGTCGTATTCACGGGGCGGCAGTAACGTTGGACGAGATAGAGAGAGCAGGGTACTTTTATTCCCTACATAAGTTTTGGGCCATCCTTAATTGTTATAATTTACAGAAATCCTCAATCTCTTATCACTTTTAAGTTATAGCATTTTAAAAATAAGATAAAAAAATCGAGCATTTTAGATAAAACCTTAGCTACTCCTGGTAAAAACACCTGGTCTTGCTAAGCATTGTGCCTTCATATTATGTGTTCTCCTCAACAGACGCTGAACTGAAAGTGAAGAGTCAGACAGCCCTGCGCAACAGGTTAGTTCTGCTGCTTAATTTTGGATGCATGATGTTTAGAAACTATGGTTTGTAAGAGACATATTTACTTTAAACACTTGGCGGCATCATTTAGAGTGTCATAAACTTAGGTTTGAGTGAGCGTGTCCCTTTAAGACATGTGAATATCTTACTCTGAGTAGTTAAATGTCTCATTTTCAGTTTCCGCATCGGCAAACACTCAAAGCAGTTGCGTAAAGTCATGGGAGCATGAAAACGCATATGTTGTCCCCCATTGTCAACCCCGGTTTTAGTCCTGGTGTGGCTCCTGTTTTAGCCGTTGACAGTATGTTCAGTCTGCTTGCTCAGTCCGCTAATGTCCCCGTGACCACTTTGCGGCTCTCTCTCTCTGCGGATTGGTTGCTGCACGTACGTCCGAGGAAACGTTCAGCAATATTTATCTCCTGCGTGCATACATTTTCCGCTCCTGCTCCTCCCCTTTGACTTTGCCGCGCAGTCTGAGTCTCTAGTGAGCAGTCCGTGTGTCTCTAGTGAGCAGTCCGTGTGTCTCTAGTGAGCAGTCCGTGTGTCTCTAGTGAGCAGTCCGTGTGTCTCTACTGAGCAGTCCGTGTGTCTCTAGTGAGCAGTCCGTGTGTCTCTAGTGAGCAGTCCGTGTGTCTCTAGTGAGCAGTCCGTGTGTCTCTAGTGAGCAGTCCGTGTGTCTCTACTGAGCAGTCCGTGTGTCTCTAGTGAGCAGTCCGTGTGTCTCTAGTGAGCAGTCCGTGTGTCTCTACTGAGCAGTCCGTGTGTCTCTAGTGAGCAGTCCGTGTGTCTCTAGTGAGCAGTCCGTGTGTCTCTAGTGAGCAGTCCGTGTGTCTCTAGTGAGCAGTCCGTGTGTCTCTAGTGAGCAGTCCGTGTGTCTCTACCGAGCAGTCCGTGTGTCTCTACCGAGCAGTCCGTGCGTCTCTACCGAGCAGTCCGTGCGTCTCTACCGAGCAGTCCGTGCGTCTCTACAGAGCAGTCCGTGCGTCTCTACAGAGCAGTCCGTGCGTCTCTACCGAGCAGTCCGTGCGTCTCTACAGAGCAGTCCGTGCGTCTCTACAGAGCAGTCCGTGCGTCTCTACAGAGCAGTCCGTGCGTCTCTACAGAGCAGTCCGTGCGTCTCTACCGAGCAGTCTGTGCGTCTCTACCGAGCAGTCCGTGCGTCTCTACCGAGCAGTCCGTGCGTCTCTACAGAGCAGTCCGTGTGTTTCTACAGAGCAGTCCGTGCGTCTCTACAGAGCAACGTCTCTACTGAGCAGTCCGTGCGTCTCTATTGAACAGCCTGTGCGTCTCTACCGAGCAGTCCGTGCGTCTCTACCGAGCAGTCCGTGCGTCTCTACAGAGCAGTCCGTGCGTCTCTACTGAATAGTCCGTGCGTCTCTACAGAGCAGTCCGTGTGTCTCTACAGAGCAGTCCGTGCATCTCTACAGAGCAGTCCGTGCATCTCTACAGAGCAGTCTGTGCGTCTCTACCGAGCAGTCTGTGCGTCTCTACCGAGCAGTCCGTGCGTCTCTACCGAGCAGTCCGTGCGTCTCTACAGAGCAGTCCGTGTGTCGCTACAGAGCAGTCCGTGCGTCTCTACAGAGCAACGTCTCTACTGAGCAGTCCGTGCGTCTCTACCGAGCAGTCCGTGCGTCTCTACAGAGCAGTCCGTGCGTCTCTACAGAGCAGTCCGTGCGTCTCTACAGAGCAGTCCGTGCGTCTCTACTGAATAGTCCGTGCGTCTCTACAGAGCAGTCCGTGTGTCTCTACAGAGCAGTCCGTGCATCTCTATTGAACAGCCTGTGCGTCTCTACCGAGCAGTCCGTGCGTCTCTACCGAGCAGTCCGTGCGTCTCTACAGAGCAGTCCGTGTGTCTCTACAGAGCAGTCCGTGCGTCTCTACAGAGCAACGTCTCTACTGAGCAGTCCGTGCGTCTCTATTGAACAGCCTGTGCGTCTCTACCGAGCACTCCGTGCGTCTCTACAGAGCAGTCCGTGCGTCTCTACAGAGCAGTCCGTGCGTCTCTACAGAGCAGTCCGTGTGTCTCTACAGAGCAGTCCGTGCGTCTCTACAGAGCAGTCCGTGTGTCTCTAGTGAGCAGTCCGTGCGTCTCTACAGAGCAGTCCGTGCGTCTCTACAGAGCAGTCCGTGCGTCTCTACAGAGCAGTCCGTGCGTCTCTACAGAGCAGTCCGTGTGTCTCTACAGAGCAGTCCGTGCGTCTCTACAGAGCAGTCCGTGTGTCTCTAGTGAGCAGTCCGTGCGTCTCTACAGAGCAGTCCGTGTGTCTCTACTGAGCAGTCCGCGTGTCTCTACTGAGCAGTCCGTGCGTCTCTACTGAGCAGTCCGTGTGTCTCTACTGAGCAGTCCGTGCGTCTCTACAGAGCAGTCCGTGCATCTCTACAGAGCAGTCCGTGCGTCTCTACTGAAAAGTCTGTGCGTCTCTACTGAGCAGTCCGTGCGTCTCTATTGAACAGCCTGTGCGTCTCTACCGAGCAGTCCGTGCGTCTCTACCGAGCAGTCCGTGCGTCTCTACCGAGCAGTCCGTGCGTCTCTACAGAGCAGTCCGTGTGTCTCTACAGAGCAACGTCTCTACTGAGCAGTCCGTGCGTCTCTATTGAACAGCCTGTGCGTCTCTACCGAGCAGTCCGTGCGTCTCTACCGAGCAGTCCGTGCGTCTCTACAGAGCAGTCCGTGCGTCTCTACAGAGCACTCCGTGCGTCTCTACAGAGCAGTCCGTGTGTCTCTACAGAGCAGTCCGTGCGTCTCTACTGAGCAACGTCTCTACTGAGCAGTCCGTGCGTCTCTACTGAACAGTCCGTGCGTCTCCACAGGAGCAGTCCGCACATGCATTTTGACGCTCAAACGTGCGTCACCATTGACTTTGCATTGAAAACCGACGCAGCATGATCCGGTCTGAACGCGGCTTTAGGCTGAATTCTAAATGGACTTTTAACCCTTTAAGCGCCAAAGTCGCAATATTGCGACAAGCAACATTGCTCACTAACAGGCTGTATCTAAAAATGTGGTGCAGAATCTTGTTAATACTTGTCACCAGGGGTTAGTGGACATGTGTGCCTGTAATATGAGCAGCATTTGTGGGTGTGGTTATATTGAACGTTTTTTTTTAGGTGGACAATTTGCTGTCCTCATAAAATTAATTTAAATCGTTTTCTATGCATTTTTTTGCCTAAAAAGTGGTTTTCTCAAAGTCTTTTTAATCCAGAAACCTGGAAAAGTGGTAATTTTGTGTGTCGCCACTGACCTAGTGGTGGGTTTCTCCCGCGCGGGAATAAGGGGGAATTATAAACAACCCGCGGGAAAATATACACACACACACAAAGTCAGGCACTGCGCAATGCTCCGTGGGGAAGGACAACAGAGCAGTCTTTTCTGTCAAGGGATGTTTATGCAATTTCTGCAGTTAATTTTACACACAAAGGAGACAGGAGGGAGCAGCCGCGCAGAGGGATAAAACAGGACAGGTGACAAACCCGCACGGAGGTAGGAGGAGAGTTTTCACTGTTCACCACATAGCACAAAGCAGCTAGTTTAGCAGCCGAGCTATCGCTAAAGTTAACGCGGAATGTGTGCTGCAGCCAATTGTTCAGAAAAATTACAGCAACTATATTGTCCACAGAGAGACAGGGCGTTGGTGAGTCAATACTGGGAAGAGTACAGCTGCCACAGGTTGTTTAGCACCATAAAAAAAAAAAAAAAAAGTATCCTAGATTAGCTGCGGAGCCTACGTGGCTAACGCCCTGTATAGCGCGGAGCTAAGTGGGCTATCGACCAGATTTTTGCTTACTACATAATGGCCTATGCTTTTTTAAGGCCAGTTAGAAGACTACAATTATAAGAACAATAGAGATAAGACATTTGAGGTATTTAGTATGATGCACTTCTTTGCAGAAATCATACAAATAGGCTTTGATTATCCTTTAATGGCAAATGGGCATGAGCAAATCCTTATGCCTAAAATTATAAATGTCCCATTTAGGCCACATAGCCAAACTCCAAACATCTGCTTCCACTGGATGTGGTGACTTGATGATGGGACAGTCAGAAAATAAATAATTGGGACTGTGCAGTCAGGGGAGGATTCAGGGGTAGGCAGAGCCTCACTGCACTTTATTGGAAACTAATATTTATTTTAGTTTAAATATTCAAGACTTTTCTCCGAGTAAGGAGGACCCTCCGGTTTAGGAGGACAATTTGCTGTCCTCATAAAAATTACATTCTAAATCGTTTTCTATGCATTTTTTAATGCCTAAAAAGTGGTTTTCTCAAAAGTCTTTTTAATCCAGAAACCTGAGAAAAGTGGTAAATTTGTGTGTCCGCCACTGCCCCTAGTGGTGGGTTTCTCCCGCGCGGGAAAAAGGGGAATTATACACAACCGCGGGAAAATGATACACACACACACAAAGTCAGCACTGCGCATGCTCCGTGGGGAAGGACAACAGAGCGTCTTTTCTGTCAAGGGGAAGTTTATGCATTTCTGCAGTAATTATACACCCACAAAGGAGACAGGAGAGGAGCAGCCGCGCAGAGGGACACAGGACATGGAGAGACACCCGCACGGAGGTAGGAGAGAGTTTTCACTGTCACCACATAGCACAAAGCAGCCTAGTTTAGCAGCAGAGCTAACGCTAAAGCTAACGCGAATGTGTGCTGCAGCCACTTGTTCAGAAAATCTACAGCAACTATATTGTCCACAGAAGAGACAGGGCCGTGGTGAGTCAATACTGGGAAGAGTTACAGCTGGTCACAGTTTGTTTAGCACAAAGTATCCTAGATTAGCTGCGGAGCTAAGTGGCTAACGCCCTGTTTATGCATACTACATAATGCCTATTGCTTTTATAAGGCCAGTTAGAAGACTACAATTATAAGAACAATAGAGATAAGACATTTGAGGTATTTATTATGATGCACTTTTTGCAGAAATCATACAAATAGGCTTTGATTATCCATTAATGGCAAAGGGCATAGCATAATCCTTATGCCATAAAATTATAAGTGTCCCATTTAGCCCACATAGTCCATAACCTCCAACATCTGCTTCCACTGGGATGTGAGTGACTTGATGATGAAATAACAATAGTATAATAATCACTAGTACCTTCCATTTGCATGGAAATGCTTGTTAATTAAAATGTTTTAGTTTCATTAAATTATATACATCTGTATTCTTAATAGAAATAAAATAATAGGCCTACTGTGTTCCTTAAAGCTTAAAAGAGATGTGTTCCCCGGTAAGGGGCTGTTTTGGCGATAGTATGTTATTACTATAGGGTATATTATATAACCTGCATGTATTAGGTCTATAATAGTCTATTAGAATTAATATAATTTAATCATTCATAATTTGCTCCTATGGACTCTCCACCTGCAGGAGGATCAGTGAGGGGCTGGTGCTCTGGGTGCAGCTCTGACTGGGGAAGAAAATGAATGGATATTTCTCCCACAAGTAAGTAAGTAAGTACACAGCCATGCAGGTGAACTGCAGTGTTACAACAACACTGTCTAAACCAGGACTGATTTAACTTGAGAGTTTTGATTTGAGCTTCAAAACACTGCTTCAAACTTGATGACTTGGGAAATGTTTTGTGAATGTTAAGAGGACAGAAGTAATTTACTGTTTGAAAAACTATGAGAGGCCTATGAGAGGAACCAGAGAGTCGAGTCCTGCAGCGGGACATCAGGGAGTCCTCTTTTGAGGTTAGCTTATTTATGGCTGTTTGTTAAAGAAATAAGTCCCATTGTTTTACAATAGCTAATAAAAGAAGTATTCGTCCCCACTGAGGGACAAATAAAGGAATTCTTATATTATCTTAAGTAGGTCAAAGCATCATCACAGTCCAAAGGCATAGTTTTAGGCCCTGTCCACACGAAGTCAAGCTCAGGCCTAAACGCAAAACTACTTTATCAATCCAGTGTATCGTCCATACGAGGCCGGCGTTTTGGGGGGGTGTAAACGAACATTTTTGAAACTAGGTCCCAGAGTGGAAAGATTTCAAAACTCCGTATATGCCGCTCCGTGGTTACTGCCTCTCCGCAATGTATCTGAGACGCTTGCGTCATCGCCCCGCCTCTTGTTAAAGCAGCATGCGCCGCACTCAGAAAATAATGACAACAACAATGTAGCTTGTTGTTTTGTAATCCAGTGCGACCCGAAGCAACAGTTCAACCTCATCGTCCGTCCATACTAATGTAGTACCAGCTCGCCCACTCGCCATGTTGTCTGTTTACAAAATTCCGCGCATGCCCACGGAAGTTTGGGCTTGATCCCGTCATTGCGTCACAGCGCCACCAACAGGTCTGGCATAGTTTCACAGCGTTTTCAGGCGTATTGACTACATTCATATGGACGCACACATTTACTGAGCTAACTCCGTGTTTACAGAAAAAGTTTCTGAAATTATAAGCGTTTTGTCTTCGTGTGGATATAGCCTCAAATGTTCCATATTACGCTTTTCTTCATATTTCACAGTCCATCCTATGCACATGTGTGATAATGATTTGACTTGTGAGATTATAGCCATCTCTTCATCACAGAAACAACATGATTACAGAGATCCTGAGCATTACAATGATTTATAACCTATGTTGGCAGAGCTGATGTTGGCTAGATGACATTGAAAATGTGTATATTGTTACATATCAAGACAGAGAGGGCCCCAATAGGCCCCAGACCTCAATTTGGGTGTGGCTGGTGAAGATGATGTGTATTTTTCTGTTCCTCTTGTTTAGACACAGCTCAGTGGTATAAGCCTCATTGCTGGACAACATGTTGCAGAGTTCGGTGACCACACAGTGACTTGGACCCTGATGTTCTCTCTGCAGACTTATCCAGAGGTAATACCTTACTTAAAGAAGCTATACCCGATTTTTTTTCTAAGTAGTTCATAAAAATGCTTTTTACTACATACAAGTTGTATCATAATACATCATTTAATTGAAAACTTGAGGTCATTGATTCCACTGTGTATGAAATTCAGGCAGTGAAAAGTGCTGAGTAGAGTCTGAGCGGGACGTTCTCCTCCACTCACAGAACGAGCAGTGAACAGCCTGTGTCCTCTAGCCTCTACAGTCTGTGTCCTCTAGTCTCTACAGCCTGTGTCCTCTAGTCTCTACAGCCTGTGTCCTCTAGCCTCTACAGCCTGTGTCCTCTAGTCTCTACAGCCTGTGTCCTCTAGTCTCTACAGCCTGTGTCCTCTAGTCTCTACAGCCTGCGTCCTCTAGTCTCTACAGCCTGTGTCCTCTAGTCTCTACAGCCTGCGTCCTCTAGTCTCTACAGCCTGCGTCCTCTAGTCTCTACAGCCTGTGTCCTCTAGTCTCTACAGCCTGTGTCCTCTAGTCTCTACAGCCTGTGTCCTCTAGTCTCTACAGCCTGTGTCCTCTAGTCTCTACAGCCTGTGTCCTCTAGTCTCTACAGCCTGTGTCCTCTAGTCTCTACAGCCTGTGTCCTCTAGTCTCTACAGCCTGCGTCCTCTAGTCTCTACAGCCTGTGTCCTCTAGTCTCTACAGCCTGTGTCCTCTAGTCTCTACAGCCTGTGTCCTCTAGCCTCTACAGCCTGTGTCCTCTAGTCTCTACAGCCTGTGTCCTCTAGTCTCTACAGCCTGTGTCCTCTAGTCTCTACAGCCTGTGTCCTCTAGTCTCTACAGCCTGTGTCCTCTAGCCTCTACAGCCTGTGTCCTCTAGTCTCTACAGCCTGTGTCCTCTAGCCTCTACAGCCTGTGTCCTCTAGTCTCTACAGCCTGTGTCCTCTAGCCTCTACAGCCTGTGTCCTCTAGTCTCTACAGCCTGTGTCCTCTAGTCTCTACAGCCTGTGTCCTCTAGTCTCTACAGCCTGTGTCCTCTAGTCTCTACAGCCTGCGTCCTCTAGTCTCTACAGCCTGTGTCCTCTAGTCTCTACAGCCTGTGTCCTCTAGCCTCTACAGCCTGTGTCCTCTAGTCTCTACAGCCTGTGTCCTCTAGCCTCTACAGCCTGTGTCCTCTAGTCTCTACAGCCTGCGTCCTCTAGTCTCTACAGCCTGTGTCCTCTAGCTCTACAGCCTGTGTCCTCTAGCCTCTACAGCCTGTGTCCTCTAGTCTCTACCCTCTAGTCTCTACAGCCTGTGTCCTCTAGCCTCTACAGCCTGTGTCCTCTAGCCTCTACAGCCTGTGTCCTCTAGCCTCTACAGCCTGTGTCCTCTAGTCTCTACAGCCTGTGTCCTCTAGTCTCTACAGCCTGTGTCCTCTAGTCTCTACAGCCTGTGTCCTCTAGTCTCTACAGCCTGTGTCCTCTAGTCTCTACAGCCTGTGTCCTCTAGCCTCTACAGCCTGTGTCCTCTAGTCTCTACAGCCTGTGTCCTCTAGTCTCTACAGCCTGTGTCCTCTAGTCTCTACAGCCTGTGTCCTCTAGTCTCTACAGCCTGTGTCCTCTAGTCTCTACAGCCTGTGTCCTCTAGTCTCTACAGCCTGTGTCCTCTAGCCTCTACAGCCTGTGTCCTCTAGTCTCTACAGCCTGTGTCCTCTAGCCTCTACAGCCTGTGTCCTCTAGTCTCTACAGCCTGGTCCTCTAGTCTCTACAGCCTGTGTCCTCTAGCCTCTACAGCCTGTGTCCTCTAGTCTCTACAGCCTGTGTCCTCTAGTCTCTACAGCCTGTGTCCTCTAGTCTCTACAGCCTGTGTCCTCTAGTAGTCTCTACAGCCTGTGTCCTCTAGTCTCTACAGCCTGTGTCCTCTAGTCTCTACAGCCTGTGTCCTCTAGTCTCTACAGCCTGTGTCCTCTAGTCTCTACAGCCTGTGTCCTCTAGTCTCTACAGCCTGTGTCCTCTAGTCTCTACAGCCTGTGTCCTCTAGCCTCTACAGCCTGTGTCCTCTAGTCTCTACAGCCTGGTCCTCTAGTCTCTACAGCCTGTGTCCTCTAGCCTCTACAGCCTGTGTCCTCTAGTCTCTACAGCCTGTGTCCTCTATCAGCTCTCCTCTAGTCTCTACAGCCTGTGTCCTCTAGCCTCTACAGCCTGTGTCCTCTAGCCTCTACAGCCTGTGTCCTCTAGCCTCTACAGCCTGTGTCCTCTAGTCTCTACAGCCTGTGTCCTCTAGTCTCTACAGCCTGTGTCCTCTAGTCTCTACAGCCTGTGTCCTCTAGTCTCTACAGCCTGTGTCCTCTAGTCTCTACAGCCTGTGTCCTCTAGCCTCTACAGCCTGTGTCTTCTAGTCTCTACAGCCTGTGTCCTCTAGTCTCTACAGCCTGTGTCCTCTAGTCTCTACAGCCTGTGTCCTCTAGTCTCTACAGCCTGTGTCCTCTAGTCTCTACAGCCTGCGTCCTCTAGTCTCTACAGCCTGTGTCCTCTAGCCTCTACAGCCTGTGTCCTCTAGTCTCTACAGCCTGTGTCCTCTAGCCTCTACAGCCTGTGTCCTCTAGTCTCTACAGCCTGTGTCCTCTAGTCTCTACAGCCTGTGTCCTCTAGTCTCTACAGCCTGTGTCCTCTAGTCTCTACAGCCTGTGTCCTCTAGCCTCTACAGCCTGTGTCCTCTAGCTCTACAGCCTGTGTCCTCTAGCCTCTACAGCCTGTGTCCTCTAGTCTCTACAGCCTGTGTCCTCTAGCCTCTACAGCCTGTGTCCTCTAGTCTCTACAGCCTGTGTCCTCTAGCCTCTACAGCCTGTGTCCTCTAGTCTCTACAGCCTGTGTCCTCTAGTCTCTACAGCCTGTGTCCTCTAGTCTCTACAGCCTGTGTCCTCTAGTGTCTACAGCGCTGCTTAACACCAGGGCTTCGACTTCAAAATTCGAATATAATTCTAAAATAAAATATATACATATTTGAACAAATATTAGACAACCCTTATAATTAGAAATGTATTTAATGACTGCAAATAAAATAGTTAGCTCCCAAAGGTTTCACCGGGACGTGCTAGGCAGGTAACAGCTAAGCTAGCTAGCTGTTTCATGGTAACTTCCGGGTTTTTCGCAATCGCTTTTTGTCACTTTAAAACAGTATTTTTGTCATGAAAACGTTGACAGCAAATTCTGAAATCGTCCGTGCATGTGTGTTAAGGATGTATATGTATACTGTATTGTCCGATTGACGTTTAATGGTGTTGATTGATATGTATTTGTTTATTGAGCGTGGCTAGCTCAGCTAGCTTCTCTACACAGACAAGTGTGCAGAAAACTGCACAATGTAGTGACAGGCGCTGATAGCTTGTTGTACTTGCAAAGTAATGGCAGTATTTTACACACCTGAATTACAAACAGAGATTGCGTTGGGGCTGCGGTCATTATTGGTTTGAGAGTTCTGTTATCAAGAAAAAATGCATTCAAGTCAATGGAGTGCTGCTGCTGTGAGGAGCTGTATAATAAATGATAATTAAATATTAGAATATATTCTAATGTTTAAATTAATACATCCGGACGCGAAACTAATGGTATTCTTTTACTTATATATTGTCTTAGCAGTGCATTTCTTTAGTACCATTTCATCAGTGATTGTTGCACTGCTTACAAGTTGCGCTAAAGCTAATGTTAGCATACATGTCAGATCGCAAATAAAACTAGATGGCTCTGTGTTATGAGAGCGTAGGGGAAATGAGAACTCTGTGAGCGAGTTGGGGGGCGGTGCTAAACATTCAAACATTGCAGAAACGGGTATAGCGCCTTTAACCCTCTTGTCCACAAGATGCAGTACTATTTAAAATGGCCCTGCTCATATACAAAATAATTGAGCAAGACCGTGTTGAACCAGTGCCGAAATCATAGCGAAGCCAGTGCAGCTGCAGCAGCGTGCCAGTGTTGTACCGCAACAAACACAAACTTTAGACACTTTAAACACTTCAGACGCTCAGTGTCAGTTGGAACAGTGTTTCTCAGGGTCAGGGCGGTCATTTGGAAGTTTGAAAAAAGGTTAGATTTGCGGAGAACAAGACTAGGAGTTTAGACTGGGCGACAGTGGCTCACTTAGTAGAGCATTGGTCTTTAAGGCTGAAGCTCGTGGGTTCGAGCCCACCACGAGACCTACTTCACGACTCCCACTGGTGATTGCTGTCATTTTGTCCTTGGGCAAGACACATAACCCCACTTTGCCTAAAGCCCCCACTCAAAAATCAAGGCTCCTATGGACTCACTACCTGCAGGAGGATCAGGGAGGGGCTGGTGCTCTGTGAACTGGGTGTAGCTCTGACTGCCACCCCCCCGACCCAGAAATAGATTAAGGGGAAGAAGATGGATGGATGGATGATTAGAAGTCAGTGCCCTGACGTCCAGCCTCCGCTAATAGTGTCGTATTCACGGGGCGGCAGTAACGTTGGACGAGATAGAGAGAGCAGGGTACTTTTATTCCCTACATAAGTTTTGGGCCATCCTTAATTGTTATAATTTACAGAAATCCTCAATCTCTTATCACTTTTAAGTTATAGCATTTTAAAAATAAGATTAAAAATCGAGCATTTTAGATAAAACCTTAGCTACTCCTGGTAAAAACACCTGGTCTTGCTAAGCATTGTGCCTTCATATCATGTGTTCTCCTCAACAGACGCTGAACTGAAAGTGAAGAGTCAGACAGCCCTGCGCAACAGGTTAGTTCTGCTGCTTAATTTTGGATGCATGATGTTTAGAAACTATGGTTTGTAAGGGACATATTTACTTTAACCCTCTATGCACATGGGTCATTTTGGGGAACTTTCCTCGCCTGGTTTTCTTTGTGTATAATTGTTCATAAAACAGTCATCTTTTGATGCAGAGTCAAGCAGTATACTTTGTTTTTTTCAGTACAACCTGGGGTTTTAGAATATTCATATTGTAAAGCTGTCATATGAATTATATAAAAATTGTGGAATCATGAAGACAAAGAAAAAAATCAAACGGAAAATCAATTTAACAAAAATGTATTGAAAAAACACAATGAAATGCTATAAACAACTTTTTACACTGCATAGAAATGTTATTTATGGTCTTGGGGATAATGGGGAAAAAAATTGAATCTCTAACTATTATACTTTTTACAAAATTCCACTATAAAAGCAAAAAACTCTACTCCTGATGCCCTTCCTGAAGCAGTTTGTCTATAATGCTGGGGTTGCTTCTGTAGCACAGCTGTAAAAAACGTAAAACATAAGAAACTGAGCCAAAAAAAACAAAACATCAATTATTTATATAATGCATATATTTATATACATCATATACACATAATGTCATTTTACTGTATTTATTATCGTCTTTATCAATAATGCGCACTCTTCAGCCGGTTATTGCAATCGCAGCTGTAGTTTCAACTGTGGGAGAACAAGTAAACGCAGAGGAGTGAGACATCTCACTCTCTGACGATCTTTGGCAGTCCCCGTGTGTTTGTATCTCACAGCTGTTTGTACCTCACGGGTCACGCTTTGGACACAGACTTTCAGACAAACGTAGTTTATCCTCCGTGCATCGCACAGACAAATCAAAACTAGTTTCGGAAGTAAGTTGCTACGTTTTACCGTTCGCGAGTAAATTGATCATTTGTAAAACATGTGCGCGTGCATCAGCGCCGATGCACGCGGGCATATAGGGTTAAACCAGGGATTAAAGAGTTCCGTCTAGGTGACGGATTTCCGTCAAATGAAATTGGTCTGGAAAAAAATATATATATATATATATAATGATAATAATACACACAATGAAATGATTGATTATAAAAATAATATATAGTAATACATATACGTGTGAATCTGTTATATATATATCGATGTATAATAATAATTTGAATATAATTGTATTTATATGTATATAGAAATAATAAGTAATATAATCACGAGTGGGCCTTGAACGTGCCGTGGCCACGTGAGCGCTCCGCAAATGAATCAAGGCAATGGGACGTAGCTGAGCTCACGCGCAAATGAAGACGCGATGAAGTTAGCATTGGTAACACGGAGGTGAAAGTTTCTGGAAACTGCACGGAGCTTTTGAAAAGGAGAAGAGGAGGAAAATTGAATCTTGAACGGAGCAATAACAGCAGCAGATCCGCGGACTGGTAAACTGGGCGCGTAATAGACGAAAGGTAATTAACGTTTACCAAACGCAATGCTATTTTACTTAACGGAATGTACAAAACGGACTTTGCTGCAACTGGGAATGGGGACAAACATGTCTTGTGAGCTTTTGATATTGTCTTGTTTGCGATCTTCTTGCAAAACTCAGCGTGATGTAAAAGAGCCAATCAACGAGTCATGGTGCGAAAAGATGAGAGTGGCCGGTGCTTGTGCGTACTTTGCCATAAAAAATTGCATGTATGGGAGCAGGGCTGGACTGGCCATCGGGCGTACCGGGCAATGCCAGAAGGGCCGATGCCCATATTTGGGCCGGTCTGTTTGCCTCATACAAAAAAGATGTTTGTGAAAAGTGTAAATCCGTTAAGAACTGTTCGAGGGGAGCGCGCGTGTCCGCGGGGCACCTGCTGTATGTACTGGAACGGGATTCTACCACCTCAGCGGCCGCAGTGTTCCCGCATCCAGCGGCTCTGAGCTGGACGCAGGAACCGCTCACAACACAACACGGTGAGCGCGTAGCCGCAACGTGACCATGTACCAAGACCATAAACGTGCACAGGACCATGCGTGTCTTTGCGTAATTTGTGCACCCAATAAATACACCGCTGCAGAAAACAGTCCGCGTCTCCCCTCTCCTCTCGAAGTGCGACTAAATTAAAGCTCGGGTGCCTAAATTTTCCATTGCATTAAAAGTTCATGTTTGAGCCCAAAAGTAAAATGTTGTGAAAAAATTAAACAGATTTAGAGCCAGCTAATGGCTGACATTATGCATTTCAGTCTTTTTTGACCAATTCTCATCCCTGTAACAAACAACAGTGTTGTCTGTGCCCACCTCCCTCACTCTGAGACATGTTTATTACTCTGTTTAATGTAGACTATTGCACTTTATTTTTTTGTTGAAACTACAGACATCCTGATCCTCTACAGTATTTGCTTCCACATACTGTATAAACCAGGGGTCGGCAACCTTTAGTGCTCCTCCAGTGGCTCCTGGAGCCTTTTCAAAAATGTCTGAAAATGGAGTGTGAGGGCTATATTTTATTCCTAGTTTGAATGTGGTTTCTCTAGGAGGAAAAACATTCTTAACGTATTTCAATACTGTAAAAATGTGTATAAGTAATATTCAATTTCTGTCAACGTAGTGAGTCATATCCTGTGGCGCGGCCCCGCGGCAGACGGCCGCTGCTGTAAACAAACCGGCGTGTGGCACGGATCCCAAAAATAAAAAGAGAAATAGTTGATAATAAGACTGGACTAAGAACAAGACTGAACATTTGCTTTCAGTCAATGAGGAAGGACTGCTTCATGTTTGCGATGTAATAGGAAGTTTTGTTGCAACACGAGGAACAATGAAGCACTAAATACCGTTCACAGGGATTACGTGAAGGATTCTTTCATACAAAATCCAGAGCACCTATTTTCAGACTTCAAAAACCTCCGCAAAGACTGTGAAAGAAAAGGCCATTAAGGACATTCAGCTCCAGCTAACTTCAGCCTGTGACGTGATCGATATGAGTGGACAGTGCAGGTGTGTGACCTTTGAGCCAAAAAGCAGATTTATTTACTGTATTTCTACAGTTGCATGAAGGCAAAAAAATGGAAATCAAAGTTAAAGCAGAGTCATCACGTGGTGCGTCATTCTCTCCAGGACACGCTGCAGTGAAAACACACATTTGACAATCATGAATGCTTATCATGTATTTGTAGCCTTTACTTGGTCATTTAGATGATAGGCTAATGTAGCTAATGTAGCTACATTGTGTAACCTTCATATAAGCTTTATACAAGGCTCTTATTTTTTTGCGGCTCCGGACAGATGTTTTTAGTATTTTTTGTCAAATATGGCTCTTTGAACCTTTTGAGTTGCCGATCCCTGGTATAAACAAACTGTAAAAAACGTGACAAAAACATGCCTGGGCCGGTAAGAAGGAAAAAATGCCCGGGCTGTTTTTTTGTCCCAGTCCAGCCCTGTATGGGAGTAATGAGAAAAAAGTTTTGATTCGCCACCAGCTCAAAACTACGCACAAGGCAGCTGTTTGTGCACTTTCCCACACTTCATCTTTACCTGGTGCATCAGCAACAACTGACACTAGGCTTGCTCTGGCGGACCGTGTCTGTGGCTTTATCGCAGAAAATAACGTTCAGAATATCACTACCGCTGGTAGATTTATTTAAATCATTTGCAGTTGATCGAAGTGCACTGTGCACTCAAACTTGATAGGGAAACCTTTTTCTTAAATATTGACGTGTCCACAAACAAATGTGGACAGAATTTGATCGTACTTTTGCAATATTTTGACGAGGACAGAGCCAAAGTGTTGACGCTCCATATCGCCTCAAGTAAAGCTACTCTCACTAATATTCTGTCAAAAAGTTTACTCGTTGCTTGATCCACTTATATTTCATATCAAAATACACTGTATATCTTTGAAGAATTCATTTGAGCTGTATTCAATATACAATCTATTATACAATAATATATTGTAATTACAAATATAACTTGGTCCTGCATATTACTGTGATTTACATGTGATAAATTTCCATGCAAAAATTTTCAGTCAAATCTTTTTTTTTTGCTTTAACCCCTGGGTTAAACACTTGGCTGCATCATTTAGAGTGTCATAAACTTAGGTTTGAGTGAGCGTGTCCCTTTAAGACATGTGAATATCTTACTCTGAGTAGTTAAATGTCTCATTTTCAGTTTCCGCATCGGCAAACACTCAAAGCAGTTGCGCAAAGTCATGGGAGCATGAAAACGCATATGTTCACAAGCACTATGTCCCCCATTGTCAACCCCGGTTTTAGTCCTGGTGTGGCTCCTGTTTTAGCCGTTGACAGTATGTTCAGTCTGCTTGCTCAGTCCGCTAATGTCCCCGTGACCACTTTGCGGCTCTCTCTCTCTCTGCGGATTGGTTGCTGCACGTACGTCCGAGGAAACGTTCAGCAATATTTATCTCCTGCGTGCATACATTTTCCGCTCCTGCTCCTCCCCTTCGACTTTGCCGCGCAGTCTGAGTCTCTAGTGAGCAGTCCGTGTGCCTCTAGTGAGCAGTCCGTGTGTCTCTACCGAGCAGTCCGTGTGTCTCTAGTGAGCAGTCCGTGTGTCTCTAGTGAGCAGTCCGTGTGTCTCTAGTGAGCAGTCCGTGTGTCTCTAGTGAGCAGTCCGTGTGTCTCTAGTGAGCAGTCCGTGTGTCTCTAGTGAGCAGTCCGTGTGTCTCTAGTGAGCAGTCCGTGTGTCTCTAGTGAGCAGTCCGTGTGTCTCTAGTGAGCAGTCCGTGTGTCTCTAGTGAGCAGTCCGTGTGTCTCTAGTGAGCAGTCCGTGTGTCTCTAGTGAGCAGTCCGTGTGTCTCTACTGAGCAGTCCGTTCGTCTCTACTGAGCAGTCCGTTCGTCTCTACTGAGCATTCCGTGTGTCTCCACTGAGCAGTCCGTGTGTCTCCACTGAAGAGTCCGTGCGTCTCTACAGAGCAGTCCGTGCGTCTCTACAGAGCAGTCCGTGCGTCTCTACAGAGCAGTCCGTGCGTCTCTATTGAACAGCCTGTGCGTCTCTACCGAGCAGTCCATGCATCTCTACAGAGCAGTCCGTGTGTCTCTACAGAGCAGTCCGTGTGTCTCTACAGAGCAACGTCTCTACTGAGCAGTCCGTTCGTCTCTACTGAGCATTCCGTGTGTCTCCACTGAGCAGTCCGTGCGTCTCCACTGAAGAGTCCGTGCGTCTCTACAGAGCAGTCCGTGCGTCTCTACAGAGCAGTCCGTGCGTCTCTACAGAGCAGTCCGTGCGTCTCTACAGAGCAGTCCGTGCGTCTCTACTGAATAGTCCGTGCGTCTCTACTGAGCAGTCCGTGCGTCTCTACTGAGCGATCCTTGCGTCTCTACAGAGCAGTCCGTGCGTCTCTACTGAATAGTCCGTGCGTCTCTACTGAAAAGTCCGTGCGTCTCTGCTGACCAGTCTTTGTGTCTCTACCGAGCAGTCCGTGCGTCTCTACCGAGCAGTCCGTGCGTCTCTACAGAGCAGTCAGTGTCCGTGCGTCTCTACAGAGCAGTCCGTGCGTCTCTACAGAGCAGTCCGTGCGTCTCTACTGAACAGTCCGTGCGTCTCTACTGAGCAGTCCGTGCGTCTCTACAGAGCAGTCCGTGCGTCTCTACAGAGCAGTCCGTGCGTCTCTACAGAGCAGTCCGTGCGTCTCTACAGAGCAGTCCGTGCGTCTCTACAGAGCAGTCCGTGCGTCTCTACAGAGCAGTCCGTGCGTCTCTACAGAGCAGTCCGTGCGTCTCTACTGAGCAGTCCGTGCGTCTCTACCGAGCAGTCCGTGCGTCTCTACAGAGCAGTCCGTGTGTCTCTACAGAGCAGTCCGTGTGTCTCTACAGAGCAGTCCGTGCGTCTCTACAGAGCAACGTCTCTACTGAGCAGTCCGTTCGTCTCTACTGAGCATTCCGTGTGTCTCCACTGAGCAGTCCGTGCGTCTCCACTGAAGAGTCCGTGCGTCTCTACTGAGCAACGTCTCTACTGAACAGTCCGTGCGTCTCCACAGGAGCAGTCCGCACATGCATTTTGACGCTCAAACGTGCGTCACCACAAATTCTAAATGGACTTTTAAATGTTTGGTTTCTCCTTTATTTTCCTTGTAACTTTCAGAATGCTGTTCTGTTCATGACCAGATACAAATACAGCTCAGTGATAAAGCTAACATTGTTCTGTGTGTTTGATATTAAGGCCTTTTTATCTCAGGCGGTGGCCAGTGACACACCTGGACACGCAGTGGACCAGTGACACACCTGGACACGCCCTGGACCCGCCCTGGACCAGTGACACACCTGGACCCGCCCTGGACCAGTGACACGCCTGGACCCGGCATGGACCAGTGACACACCTGGACACGCCCTGGACCAGTGACACGCCTGGACCAGTGACACGCCTGGACCCGCCATGGACCAGTGACACGCCTGGACCCGGGATGGACCAGGGTCAAGCCTGGACGCCGTGGACCAACCAGTATCACTGAAGTACAATAATACTGGTAGGTACATCCTGAACACACTTACGGTCATCTCTTAAAACACTCTGCTGCATCATTTAGAGTGTCATAAACTTAGGTTTGAGTGAGGGTGTCCCTTTTAATGCATGTGAATATCTTACACTTAGTATAGTTAATGTCTCATTTTCAGTTTAGCTGGTCCTCTCAGTCCTGGTCTGTCCTGTGTGTCACACACACAGATGTTGTAAATGTCTCATATTGAATATAGATGTCCTCATTAACACAGAGTCCTCTCAGTCCTGGTCTGTTCTGTGTGTCACACACACAGATGTAGTAAATGTCTCATATTGAATATAGATGTCCTCATTAACACAGAGTCCTCTCAGTCCTGGTCTGTCCTGTGTGTCACACACACAGATGTTGTAAATGTCTCATATTGAATATAGATGTCCTCATTAACACAGAGTCCTCTCAGTCCGTAACTGCTTTTATCACCTTAGGAACATTGCAAAAATCCGCAATATGTTGTCAAAGAATGATCTGGAAATGATCATTCACGCTTTTATTTCAACAAGACTTGACTATTGCAACTCTGTTTTTACCTGCTTGAATAAGTCTGCACTCAATCAACTTCAAATTGTTCAAAATTCTGCTGCTAGACTTTTAACAGGTGCCCCTCGTAGGTCCCATATCACTCCTGTTCTGTCTGTTCTTCATTGGCTCCCAGTCAAATTCAGGATTGATTTTAAGATCTTAGTGCTGACCTTCAGAGCCTTAAATGGTCAGGCCCCCCAGTACATCCTGAACCTTTTGAGCCTGTACTCCTCTGGCCGTTCTCTCCGGTCCTCTGGCCAGAACCTGCTTGTGGTCCCCAAAACCCATTATAAGACTCGAGGGGACCGGTCTTTTCAGTCTGTTGCCCCCAGACTGTGGAACGCCCTGCCCCTGTCCCTACGTCTGGTCGACTCTGCGGACTCTTTCAAAAAAGGCTTGAAGACTTATTTATTTAAGAAAGCTTTTAGTTGATTGGGTTCTCACTGATGTCACTTTTAAGTACATAAAATGTGTAATGTGTGTAAGTGTATTTTATATTGTTTGTATTTGCCCACTGTCCTGTACAGCACTTTGTGATTTTTATCTGTGAAAAGCGCTTTATAAATAAACTTTACTTACTTACTTACTTACTTACTCAGTCCTGGTCTGTTCTGTGTGTCACACACACAGATGTTGTAAATGTCTCATATTGAATATAGATGTCCTCACTAACACAGTGTCCTCTCAGTCCTGGTCTGTTCTGTGTGTCACACACACAGATGTAGTAAATGTCTCATATTGAATATAGATGTCCTCACTAACACAGTGTCCTCTCAGTCCTGGTCTGTTCTGTGTGTCACATACACAGGGTGCTGTATGTGTAATAAAGTTGTTACCTGTTGTTGCTTTATTGGAACAGATAAATCTAGGGTTAATGAACATATTTGCAGTTTGAGGTTGTGTAGTGCTGTGGAAGAAAATGCTTGTCCCAGAGTTATTTACCTGCTGTTTACAGCTCTAGTGTATATTGCTCTTGTGTGTTGAGTGGTATCATTACAATTATCCTAACCAAACATGTCACAGGAATAGAATAGATGTGTTTCACTAGTTTATATTAAAAGTTCCTTCTTTCCATCTTTTCATCTCCCTTGATGGATTTGAAGAATAATGGGGGCTGTTTAAATGTATATCTTAACAAGGAATAGGGGGTACAGATTATGTTTGCGGTCTTAAAAGGGGGCACAAGCACTGGTATATAGAAACTTCATCTATTTAGATGTTTTTGTCTTTTGTTGTTTTAATATTCTAATTCATCTCTTTTAATGTTTCAGAGTTGTTTCATCAAGGCGGATAACAGCAGTGAAGAAGCATCTGAGGCCTCTCATTGGTTTAACTGCCACCATTCAGCAGTGACATAAAGTCCAGGAAATGGAACACACCATCTTGGAGAGTAGATCCATTCAAGATATTACAGATTTTGAGGTTTGGCCTTAAAGAGGTATTATAAGACTGAATTCTATATGGACATTTAAATGTTTGGTTTCACCTTTATTTTCCGTGTAACTTTCACAATGCTGTTCTGTTCATGACCAGATTAATGAGGTGAACAAATACAGCTCAGTGATAAAGCTAACATTGTTCTTTGTGTTTGATATTATGGATTTTCTATCTCAGGTGGTGGCGGTCACTGGTCCATGGCGTGTCCAGGTGTGTCACTGGTCCATGGCGTGTCCAGGTGTGTCACAGGTCCATGGCGTGTCCAGGCGTGTCACTGGTCCATGACGTGTCCGGGGGTGTCACTGGTCCATGGCGTGTCCAGGCGTGTCACTGGTCCATGGCGTGTCCAGGCGTGTTACTGGTCCATGACGTGTCCACGGTGTGTCACAGGTCCATGACGTGTCCACGGCGTGTCACTGGTCCATGGCGTGTCCGGGCGTGTCACTGGTCCATGGCGTGTCCAGGCGTGTCACTGGTCCATGGCGTGTCCGGGCGTGTCACTGGTCCATGGCGTGTCCAGGCGTGTCACTGGTCCATGGCGTGTCCAGGCGTGTCACTGGTCCATGACGTGTCCACGGGGTGTCACTGGTCCATGATGTGTCCATGGCGTGTCACTGGTCCATGGCGTGTCCAGGCGTGTCACTGGTCCATGGCGTGTCCAGGCGTGTCACTGGTCCATGGCGTGTCCAGGCGTGTTACTGGTCCATGACGTGTCCACGGCGTGTCACTGGTCCATGGCGTGTCCGGGGGTGTCACTGGTCCAGGCGTGTCACTGGTCCATGACGTGTCCAGGCGTGTCACTGGTCCATGGCGTGTCCAGGCGTGTCACTGGTCCATGGCGTGTCCGGGCGTGTCATTGGTCCATGACGTGTCCAGGCGTGTCACTGGTTCATGATGTGTCCATGGCGTGTCACTGGTCCATGGCGTGTCCAGGCGTGTCACTGGTCCATGGCGTGTCCAGGCGTGTCACTGGTCCATGACGTGTCCGGGCGTGTCACTGGTCCATGACGTGTCCGGGCGTGTCACTGGTCCATGGCGTGTCCAGGTGTGTTACTGGTCCATGGCGTGTCCAGGTGTGTCACAGGTCCATGACGTGTCCAGGCGTGTCACTGGTCCATGGCGTGTCCAGGCGTGTCACTGGTCCATGGCGTGTCCAGGCGTGTCACTGGTCCACGTGTGGCGTGTCACTGGTCCATGGCGTGTCCGGGGGTGTCACTGGTCCATGGCGTGTCCAGGCGTGTCACGGGTCCATGGCGTGTCCAGGCGTGTCACGGGTCCATGGCGTGTCCAGGCGTGTCACTGGTCCATGACGTGTCCACGGTGTGTCACAGGTCCATGACGTGTCCACGGCGTGTCACTGGTCCACGGCGTGTCACTGGTCCACGGCGTGTCACTGGTCCACGGTGTGTCACTGGTCCATGGCGTGTCCGGGCGTGTCACTGGTCCATGGCGTGTCACTGGCCCATGGCGTGTCCAGGCGTGTCACTGGTCCATGACGTGTCCACGGTGTGTCACAGGTCCATGACGTGTCCACGGCGTGTCACAGGTCCATGACGTGTCCACGGCGTGTCACTGGTCCATGGCGTGTCCACGGCGTGTCACTGGCCCATGGCGTGTCACTGGTCCATGGCGTGTCCAGGCGTGTCACTGGTCCATGACGTGTCCACGGCGTGTCACTGGTCTAAGGTGTGTCCAGGTGTGAGCAGCCCGGACACGTCATGGACCAGTGAGACGCCTGGACACGCCATGGACCAGTGACACGCCTGGACACGCCATGGACCAGTGACACGCCTGGACACGTCGTGGACCAGTGACACGCCTGGACACGTCATGGACCAGTGACACGCCTGGACACGCCATGGACCAGTGACACGCCATGGACACGTCATGGACCAGTGACACGCCATGGACCAGTGAAACGCCATGGACCAGTGACATGCCTGGACACGCCACGCCGTGTCACTGGTCCATGGCGTGTCCGGGCGTGTCACTGGTCCATGGCGTGTACGGGCGTGTCACTGGTCCATGACGTGTCCGGGCGTGTCACTGG